CGTGCCCAGCCCAGGCCGTGCCGGTGCCGTGTCCCCACCGTGTCCCCGCTGCCTTTGGGGTCTCTGACCCCGTCACTGTCCCCATCCTGGGGAGTGACCCCTGTCCCTGTCCCTGTCCCTGTCCTCGGGGTGAATCCTGTGTGCCCTTCCCCGTCATTGTCCCCATCCCTGTCCCCACACCAGGGGTGTCCCTGTCCCCACGGGGGTGGCAGTGCCAGGGTGACCCCCATGTCCTTGTCCCCATGCCAGGAGTGTCCCCTTGTCCCTGTCCCCACACCGGGGGTGTCCCCATGTCCCTGCCCCCCACTGGGGGTGTCCCCATGTCCCTGTCCCCACGGGGGTGGCAGTGCCAGGGTGACCCCCATGTCCCTGTCCCCACACTGGGGGTGTCCCCATGTCCCTGCCCCCCACCGGGGGTGTCCCCGTGTCCCTGTCCCCACACTGGGGGTGTCCCCGTGTCCCTGCCCCACACTGAGGGTGTCCCCGTGTCCCTGCCCCACACTGAGGGTGTCCCCGTGTCCCTGCCCCACACTGGGGGCGTCCCTCTGTCCCTGCCCCACACCAGGGGTGTCCCTCTGTCCCTGTCCCCCCACTGGGGGTGTCCCCGTGTCCCTGCCCCACACCGGGGGTGTCCCCATGTCCCTGTCCCCCCACTGGGGGTGTCCCCATGTCCCTGTCCCCACACCGGGGGTGTCCCCGTGTCCCTGCCCCCATGCCAGGGGGTGTCCCCATGTCCCTGCCCCCCACACTGGGGGTGTCCCCATGTCCCTGTCCCCACACCGGGGGTGTCCCCGTGTCCCTGCCCCCATGCCAGGGGGTGTCCCCATGTCCCTGTCCCCCCACTGGGGGTGTCCCCATGTCCCTGTCCCCACACTGGGGGTGTCCCCATGTCCCTGCCCCACACTGGGGGTGTCCCCATGTCCCTGTCCCCACACCGGGGGTGTCCCTCTGTCCCTGCCCCACACTGGGGGTGTCCCCATGTCCCTGTCCCCACACTGGGGGTGTCCCCGTGTCCCTGCCCCACACTGGGGGTGTCCCCATGTCCCTGTCCCCACTGGGGGGTGGCAGTGCCAGCCTGTGACACTCAGTGGCTTTATTGGGCCCCCCCGGGCTGTGCCCCCCCCCCGGGGGTCCCAGGGCCCCTCCACGCCCCGAGGCCACCCCAGTGTCCGTCCTCGGCTGTGTCCGTGCGTCCGTCCTCTGTCCGAGTGTCAGTCCTCTCCGTCCCCGCTGGACGTGGCCCCTCCCAGGCCCTCGGCTGTCTGCCAGCTCCGTCCGTCCGTCCGTCCGTCCGTCGGTCCCTCGGTGTCCCCGGGGCTCAGTGGCAGTTCTGGCACCGGGGGTGGCACCTCTGCCCGTTGACGTTGCAGCGACAGCCGCCGCTCGTGTCCCCGGGACCCTGCGGGGGACGGGGCAGGGGTCACTGGGGGTCGCTCGGGGGTCAGCTGGGGGTCGCTCAGGGGTCAGCTGGGGGTCACTGGGGGTCATTGAGGGGGCAGGGGTCACTGGGGGTCACTGGGGGTCGCTCGGGGGTCATTGAGGGGGCAGAGGTCACTGGGGGTCAGGGGTCAG